ATGCAGGTCACAACTGTCCCTTCAACCTGGCTCCCGAAAGCCAGCCACAAGAACACCAGCTGTTTGATCTCTACCATTGGTACGTTCCTCCTTCCCTATCATTTAATAATCTTCCATCGATCGATCTCTTTCATCGACAAACTACGGTCTAGGATGGGAGCACTTGTAGCGGTTCTAGAGCCCACCTCCTTCAAACTCGAGAAGTCATTGACGTTTTCTCCCAGGAAAAATATTGGTCGCCCAGTAACGCCTTTCCCAGCGCGATGGGGCATGTCAGTACCGACGCGCGACCTTTGCCCTCGCACGACTGGGCGCACAGACGCGCCCCAAACTGGTCGACCTATCAGCGTCCCGAAGCGCTCCTGGCCAATCATTTCTGGTCAAGCGCTCTCCAGTCCTCTAGTCAAATCATGTACCGACGGACACGTGGGAATCCGCTTCGAGCGGGACACACGCTCACGCGCCCTCACGGCCGGACCGAGTCGCAACTTACTCCTAACACTTCTGTACAAAATATATTATTCACCCTACTCTGCCTTCCAAGATGTCTCCCACCTCGGGCCTGAAAGATTGTAGTTATTAAGGTTAGCCGTCATAGCCTTAACTCCTATAGGCCTTTTCAGTCTCGCGTACTTTTCAAATATTACTACTACTGGAAGAGCCTGAGAGCATGCCTCAAACAAATATCCCACGAATAACTACATTCCTCATGTAAACAACCCACCCACTGCCATTGCACACCTTTGGAACACGTTCTATCATGCTTGCCTCCCGGACTGGCTAAGCAACTTCAAGGCAGAAAAAGGAAAAAACCGCTTTCGGTGATCATTGTGATGACTGCCGCCAGGCTATGACTTCGGATTCAGTTCCGCTCGGATGCAGATAATCCACTTCCTCCTACCTATCTCTCACACTTTCTGCACACAATAAACTCTTCCTACCAACCCGACCTTCCACTATCTACGCACTGGCTAGAGTTTAAGATATTTGCCTCCAGAAGAAAAAGACAATTCGCGTTGTTTGCCGCAGAGTTAAGGCTCTCGACGTTAGCCAGA